CGTAATTTGTTATCTAAGAAAATGTACAACTATAAAGACAAAGCTTTTGAAATATTCAAAAGACAAGTAATTCAGAGAAGAGTCTCTTTTCGGTGAATTCATTTTCATAGCTGTACGTGTATATATCAGTTCACCTGTTGCTGTGGAGTTCAATTCGTATCCTTTCAAAAAGCGTCAAAGAACACTATCCAGCGTGGCTGCAGAAAGGAAGTAATGGTTGTATAAGGAGTGCAGTAATCAAACATCTCGTCAACACTGGTCATTCCATCTCAACAAACGCCTCCTGCTTAAAAGTAATCTACAAAGTGAAAAACAACCTTCCAAAGACAGCACAATTTCGTCTTCTTTGTATCACAGATGACCTAGCCATTCCTTTGGAGGAAGCAGAACTGTGCATATAAAAAAAAATGATTCAACCACTTCTACTATCTTGATAACAACTCCGTTGAATTGACCTAACTTTTGTTTGTATGCTTATTTTGCTAACTACTTAAAACCCTTGTGTAATTCTGTATATTATTTTGTCTCCATACACACCCTGAGCACAACTTTTTCATCAAACTTTTCATGTCATCACGTAACTCTTTTTTAACAATCCTTTGTGACAACTCATCACTTTTATTATGATTCTCTCATATCAACATTCAGTTCATCTAAACTTACTAACTGTATTTTCGTTTGAAAAATTTAATGTGTACACACACACACAAAAACCAAATATATTTGCGATTCTACAGCTATGAAAATGAATTCGCCACCGAAAAGAGACTCTTCTACTTGTCTTTTGAAATAATCCTTTTGCTTCTGTTATGTACTCGTCGCTAAATTATTGTTATGGACTGGTCGAGAAACTAATAGTCCTGACGCAAGAAGGCGGAAATCAGAAGACCACTAGGTTTGCGATGATACTTCTATTTTTCCAAACACAAGGAGACGCAATAAGTGGTATCACACCAAAGTAAGTAAGTCACACAAATTGTGAATGCGAAATATATATGAATGTTCCAGACAAAGGGTGTGAAAAATCATTAGACAGTCTTAACATGAATGGCTAATTATGATGAAGTATCGATCCATATATACATAGCGAAATATAGCAGACATGTCAACAACCACCATATATGGATATATGTCACCAAGCGACGGACTGTCAACAAACACTCATATTATATATAATATAATATAAGGAGAATATACATTATTAAAGGAGACAGGTTCATACAAGTGAAATGGTCACAGACTAAGCGAGCAAACAGAAAGAGAGACCAACATACACACACACATAAATATATATGTGGACACATATCAGCCTCCAAGACAATTTACTATATATACGTATATATATCCATGCTACTTTAAAGCTTGAGAATGATATCATTGAGATGAGTAACTCTTCGTTGAATATCTTCTCTTTTATCTAATGTACTGAGTTTTCAGCTGAATTTGTTACACTATTTTTGCACTTCCTCCCTGATTTTCAATTAGAATGGTTAACTGATAGTAGATCACGTGACACCATACTGTCTAACCTGTCTCCATTAAGAAATATGCGATTGTTTAGTTGAAAGGCAATTTAAAAAGAAGTACAAGAGTACATCTTGAGACACAAAGACATAACTGAATGATGCCTTAAGGTTGCAGGCGGTTAGTTTTATTACTTGGGCAATGATAGTTTGTACCACACATCTCAGTAACAGTTATATCATCTATCTGAATACATTTCCGCTAACGTTTATGCGTTTTTTCTCAAATTCAGTAGAAACATGCGAATTAGTCGGTTGTAAACACTCTTACATACTCGCACGAGTTAAATCGTAACCATAGGAAGTCATATTTTAATAGATTAAAACAAAGTGAGAAAGAGAAAAAACATGCTGAATAAATGTGTTGAAGATATCTGGATATCTCAAGTGTTAAGCAGGCCACAGATGGCAAACTAATGCTAAAAATCTTCTAGCATTCAGTCAACATTTTGAGAATTAATGGTGCTTTCTGCATTTAATTAATGAGGAAATGAAATCGACAGCTATAAAATCTGTGATTAGTGGACAGCAGTTCTATTAGGCAGTCGTGACCACGGTGGGGTACAAACGGTCGAATATGAAGACAATTACTTGAATTAAAAGTTAATCTGAACAAAGAATAATTCTTTTCAATAATTTCTCCTTTTCAGGTTCTTACAATTATAAAATGTAATATTTATTGTCCCTACAATTAGGGCCAGCTATGAGGTGGGTACTTTTTTAAGTAGAATTTCAGATTAGTAGTTATGGGGTGTCCAAATGAATATAAGTATTTGTGTGACAAACATGCTAGGCTGAAATCAATTACAAAATATTGTAAAATGGGAGACAATGGTGGTGATTAGTCATGATAGATTTCTCGAGAGTGACAAGTCAGTTCAAAGTTATTAAAGGTGTCAGGTGAGTGAGTGGCTAGTATAAAGTGGTGTGTATTAAACAGGAGATAGTAAGACTGCAATGAGAAGTTTATAATGAAATAACGAATGTGTGGAATGCAACATGCGGAGGAATATATTGAGATTGAGGAAAGGGATAATATCACTAATAATAAGTCCGTATAAATGAAAAATTCGATAGTATCGAGGGAATGTTTGCATGAAGAGCATTAATTATGGCGAATAATAGTAATAAGAATAATTGTAATAATAACAAAGAAAGAAAAAAGGCAAGAGGGTCAAGGGGAAGAAGCACTCTTGGTGAGAAGGAGAATCATCGGACCAAGTTTGGTCACGGTAGTAACAGCGTCTGGACTTGTTCTCTTTTTTGGATACAAAGTTCCGGTTCAGTCGATCTTATTACAACAGCGTCAGCTATGTTTAAGAGGCGTAAGCGAACTGTACGTGAAAACGACTTCGGAATTCAGTATATAACCCTGAAAGCTGTGTTGACATCGATACGATGTCCAGTATCGACCAAGTGTGACTGGATCGAACTTTTTATGCACTTAATTTCCCCTCCCTGCTGAACCAAACTGGTATATGTTCTCGAACCCGTAGACGAACCTGCCTAATCGTGCGCCCTATATAACTTGAACCACAGGGGCAGTTGAAGTGGTTTATGCATGAGGAAGGGCTTAGGTTAAACAGGACTTCTTTGAGTTGCTGGGTGAACACCGTACGGCTACTGAAGGATAGACACAGACGTGCAGAGTAGAAAGTTTATCACCCTGATTGAACTTTGCAATATAATCTCTGCATTAGTATCTCCCTTGAATTGTAGACGTAAAAGTAGAGGTTTTTTTTACCCACCGTTGCAAGTTCATGTTGGCTTTAATGAGCTTCTCTGGATATCCACATCTCGGATAACCTGGAGTTCTTTCTCTACACACTCTTCGGAACAAAGAGACCTGATCAGATTACGTTTGTATTTCATCCGTAGGAAGCTAAGGAAGTGCGAATACTGAGCTTTGGCCTCCAGATTTCTAAATATGGTTATTTTGACGGAACTATCCTCTCTTCTCGTTAGAAGGACGTCGATGAATTGTACAGAGTCGTTATATTTTTCTTCTTAGGTGAAATGGATCACTGGGTGAGCATTATTGAAGTTGCTCAAAATCAAATCACTACATAACGCTTCATCATAAAAAGTGTCATCCATTTAAGAACAATACATTTCCATTTTCTCTATTTCATCTTTCAACGAACTATTCTTTAGTTTTGCTAGAAATATGTTTACGAAAATAGGTCCCAATGAGGATCTCACGGCTACTCCATCAACCTGTCTGTCCACTTCATTATTAAACAAGGAGTGAAAATTTGTTGTACATTTAAGAAGCAGTTGTTTCAGATTACTAATAGGAATATCAGTGCACAATTTCCTTTGTATATTCTCTTCGCAGATATAATCGATGGTTTCCACTAGAGGCAAATTTGTGAAATAGAGATGCCATATATTTGCCAGTTGTGTTCAAGTGTTTAATCTTGTCAACAAACTGAAAGGTATTCTTGACGCTATGCTTCACTAACTCATCAGATAAGGGTTGAATTATCTGCACCAGCCACTTTGCCGTCTAGTGACAGAGTGAGTGAGATATGTCTAGTATGGTGCTCCCTGTGGGTTTTATGTTTTCGAAAGTTTTTGGTGATATATACCCTTTACCTTACAAATCCTACGAATACTTGACACTGATTACATGCGCTAGTACAAGTCGCTGTATATCATGAGTCGTCAGAGGTTGATTTCATGGGCTAGCCATTAGATTGGCGTGTCCCCATGGCTTACTATTGGTCCAGGAGCTTACCTTTCGACGTGGAGGTCCAGGATTCGAAATTCGGAGTTAGGTGCGTACTGTTGAAGAGTCTCAAAGTAGTGTGAAATAGCTTTCCAGGATTCAAATGCAGGTTTTCCATTGTTCCTCTAACCTATATCACTTCATGATGAAATCCTGAAAGCAATCAAATCTCTGCAAAAACCAAACACTTGATATATGCAACATTTAACTACTGATGACATTGATTTAGTCAAATTGTATATGCCTTGAAATGCAACTGTCATTAACTCAAGTATGCATATTGTGCTCAAGTTGCTATGACAGCAAACACATGTGCAATCAATTAGGCTATTTCGTTCAGTGTTTTTTCAACTTTCTGAAAATGAATTCTGACTTAACAGATGACTGGCATATATATATGTGAAATTGGCTATGAATTATCAGCTTGACATTTTCAACGTCATAAAACAGACAATTAAGAGAGATAATTCACACTCACACACACACACAGACATGCACACACGTACATGCAGGCACAATCGAAACACACAGAAACTTTAGATTGACAAGTGCTGTAAATCAACTTTCAAGAGAAAGATTGAGTGTTTTGTTAGCATAAGAATAATGAGGAAATGAAATAAGACATTGTTCCCCAATCATTATGATATGTCAAAAGATATTATGAAAAATAACTACAGCACTTATAAATATATATATATATACTTCAGTTAGCTAACTGGTATCACAGTGACAATTTCATTTCAAAAATGATGGGTGTTTATGCAATCGTGTTAATTATCTCTTCTATTCTACTTGTCTTTGTGAAGGAGACCAGCGCTGGTGCAGGTAAGTTAATCTCTATATTCTCCATAGTTTAAGTTATCGGCGAATTGAAAACTAGTCACTTTTCGATCTCTATTCTGATAGCTTCGTTTAAAGACTGTCGATTAACGCATTGTATAATGGCATTGAACACAAAGTTGTGTGTGTTTTGATAGTGAGTTAATCTGGTACAGATTCGAGTTTTGCCATAGGCTTAGAATGGCTAGTAAAATGTCAAGTGTTAGGAAATTCACTTTATATTAATTTACCTATTGGAATTAACATTTAGGATCAGGAGATATTTTTGCGTTCATGGAAGTTTGTAGGTTACTGCTTACACCATAAAATTTGAGTTTTTCTTGGATTACTTGTACTAGGAAGGGCACCATTTGTTTGGGGCTAGTTACACATGGCTTGTTTGAGGCGCTTGCTGAGGTCTAGTCCATATTTAGACATCCCTATCGATCACGTGATACCACAAGCTAATTTGAGGTGAACAAATTACGGAGTCAAACTTTACTCACCCTCCCATTTTCCGGATTTGGAAGCTGGCATATGCAGGTTGTTGGTCATCTCATCACTATTATGTCCGAAGTCACTAGCTGTTAATTCCTTTCCTACCTGTCCATTCTCAATCTTTCCTCTGTTCAACATTATACTACTTGCCATTAATAAGTAGTATGATTTTTATATGTTAATTTATAACAATGACATTTCCTTACAACTGCAGTTAAATTACTTGTTCTATTATCATTCTATTAGTGTATAGTTCTTATTTTTCTTCTCCTTAAACATTATTTGCTGCATTTACCCTATAGTGTATGCTTTACTATTGAAAGTTGTTTGTTCATATTTGTTTATTCTTTGCCTGGCATTCGCGGGCCGTTTGAACCGACACGTGGATCGTCCTTGACACAGCATTGCTGTTTTTAACTAATTGACTGCACAGTGGTTGTGCATTTAACGGCATTTAGCCACAGACACCTCACATTTTGAGGTTTGTATATTATATATCTATTTTTATGTAATAAAGTACCGTATTGCAGAATATCCTGTATTTTGGACTTTACGTGTCACTCTACGTGTGGTTAAATCTATTGTTTGGATTATCGTTTCAGATTTCTTTCGGGAGAAATTCACACTAGCATTACGAGTTCACTTACAGGCCCCGATGTAGTGTAAATGACTAACACTATGTTGCTGGATGCTTCTGGTCTAACAGTCATGCAAGCGGCTTTTCTTGAATCACAAGACCTGCAGTGTAACTTGCCCGATCATTGCAACATTCAGCCTTTACCATTTCCTCAAGGTAACAGCTAACAGTCAGGGATTAATAGTCACTTCAATAAAGAGTTTTGTAACTCTCAGGATGTATAAATATACTACAGCCACAATTAACTGTGAAAGAAAGTTTTGTGAGTGCGAATCATTTTGTATATAGGCTTCCAATACATCTATGTATCATAGATGACTAGATATAAAGGTGTATTAATGAAATCGATCCAAATTGTCGTCTGCGGTGATAACTCCTCACAGTACGATCAATCATTGGGATACACTAAAGATGAAATGTAAGTCATTTATTCCACCTTTGGTCACCAATAACTAGATAAAGTAGTTTTTTCAATTGTTAGTGTGCAGGGATTTGATTGGTTTCATCAACTGATATCAGTTAGAGGACCATAAGAAAACCTGCACTGAAGTACTGGAAGGCTGTTTCGTCACCCTAGTTTAGGACACTTTATCAGTACGCACCCGTTACCATAGTTCGAGTTCAGGACTTTCTGGTTACATGACGAGCTTGTAGATCATTAAGCTACTGGGAGACGCCAATTCAATGGCTAGCCCATGAATTCCAAATTCTGCGAATTTATGACATGATGCGACTTGCACTAGCGAATGTAATTGGTGTCAAGTATTTATCCGCATACCTGACCTATTATTTTACCCCACTGGCGTCATGACTTCCCAATAGAACCCATGTAACTACCTAACTGAATAGAACCAGTCACTACTGAGCATCTAATTGATATACAAGTGATGGTTTTTGGGGATATAATTGGTTTCATTCTTTTCATTTCGTGAATGTTTCCAGAATAATTAAGGATCACAACACATCGTTTATGATTTAACAACAAAACAGAACTGTCACGTATTTACAGCATTACAAATAAACTGATTTCACATTGAAAGTGATGTTATCAGTTTTGGCTAACTCTTGGAGGAGATGAACTTAATTGGATTTTGAAATTTCATGAACTGAATAATAATCAAATTTATCAAAATTTCAACAATTAACAGTAGAAATAAAGTTATCTATTCCCTTATGTGATGGTGGTCCAATAGTAGAATCCTGGACAACCACTTCATGTGGTTCAAGTTTAATTCTCTGCTGAAGTCCAGCTAGAGTGCACTTAGCTCGCAGTAAGCACAGTAAAGAAGAAATGTTCCACGTCAGGTTAATGAACCAGTCCTGCGATAAAAACAAAACACTAATGCCACTAAAATTTCAGTGTTCAACTTTAAGGTTCTGTATTCTACTGTCAAGGAAGAAGAATAAAATATCGTGTACTTTGCCTTTAATACAAGTTCCGTATCACAAAATAATCTATGATTCATCACTGATTATTATTATGGTTTTTAGATTATGCATTTTGTGGGGAAGTGGATTGATTTTTGCAAGGGCAAACAGCCTATTTTGATTTATTCCTACATCCACACTATAATCTGACTGAATTGCCTTTGATTGGTTCCTTTATGGCTTCAACTTCTGAGATTTAGTAATATGTATGTGTATAGTATTTTATTGCATGGAGGATTTAATCATGAGCTGACATCAGTTAGAGAACCACTGGAAAACCTGGGAGTACTGGACAGCCGTTCCGTCCTAGTTTGGGACTCCTCAGCAGTACGCACCCACCGGGATTCGAACCCAGGACCTTCTGGTTACAAGGCGAGCTCGTAGACCATTGAGCCACTGGGACCCGATCCAATGGTCCTTGAATTCTAACTTCTGCCAGTTCACGACCTTTCGCTGTTATTTTTCTTATTATGGTTTAGTCAGATTTTTGTATCAATCTTAGATAAGGGGATATTTTCAGGAGACATGTTGGTTTCAATATAGTACTTGGAGGCAACACTGCAGCTACAACTGCATTTGAGCTCGGTTATAACATATTTTGGCGACAAATGAACCCCAATCCTAATATATTCCAGTATTTGATCTAATCATGTTTATCCCTTGTGGAGTATTTATTCAGACCCTTCATTGTTGAGTATGTTCAATTACTTCAATATTAGATTGTTTATTAGATATATCACAAAGTGAATGAAAGAATAGTACTGTTTCCTGGATCACACAGTTTCGAACACAAGTGATATATGTTCATAATCATATCGTCAGTTATAATCACACAACTTCGAAATTTTCGTTCTATAATTTTCATACATTTATGCCCCTTAATGAATTTGAACAAAGCAAGAACTACAGTTTTAGCAGAATAAAATGGTACCATCTTTTATTTCGTTAAAATTGTTGTTGTAGATATATTTAATAATGTCTTTGCCATGTAAGCAGCTGACGAGAAGGCAATGAAATAAAAGATGGTACCATTTTATTCTGCTAAAACTGTAGTTCTTGCTTTGTTCAAATTCTATAATTTTATTTGCTGTCCCCTATTTTTCGTCTTAGGGGAAGTAGAGTTTTCCTGATGTCCTAGTGAAAAGGTGTTGAATCATTCCTGTTTCACGTGTTTACAGTTGATTCGATAAATAAAGCCTCGGTCAGTTATCGATCTCTCCCTCCACTCTGTGACATTATATTTTAGAACTGTCACACTATCCCATCCTATTGTATGGATGGTTATGTGTGATTGCATGTGGTGAGTGGTAAAGCTGAACTATTCTCTAGATTTCTCATCTTATTCGGGTCAACTAATCCAGATTTTGCTAGGTTTTCATGTTTCACTAATCTGTCTAACCAACCTTGTTCTACTACCTAGACTTATGTATTTGACCTGACAATCATTGCAGGCAGGGTACTGGATAGACTAAACTGTTTTGTTTAGTGCACTGTACCACGGGTTCCTTTAACCTACAAAGCTTGTTTCTGATTGAGTTCGTTGGTTTGAATGCCGGCCACTTTTATTCCTGGCTTGTTACGGATTCTGAGTAAGGTTTCTTAACAAAACAAGGAATAAAATTGGCATGCCAACCCACAAACTCAATTAGAAAGAAACTTTGTCGGTTAAAGGATCAATCCTGTGGAGGGAATAAAAACGAAGCAATTTAGTTTGACTAATATCCTGCTTGAATGATTGTCAGGTAAAGTATGTAAGTCAAACAAATAGTAGTGTAACAATGGAAGGCAAGACGCAGAAGCCAAGCTGGTGAACTGTGGGAATAACATTGCGACTCTAACATCAAATAGAATGTTCAAATAAATTATTATATATTGTATTCTGTTGCTAATGCCGAACTGAACTGTGGTAATATGTGAAAATAATGTTTCATTGGCACACATTGTCTGTATCACATCACCGTAGTATAACGGTGTCAGTCAGTCAGACTAGCGAAGCATTAAAAGCTAGCAAAATTTAGATTGGTTTACCACAATAAGATAAGAAATCTAGAGAATAGTTCAGCTATAGGACTTACGACGTGCAGTTACACAAAAGACAGTCTTAAAATCTAATATAACAGAGTTGAGGGAGAGATTGACAACAAAAGCTTTGTTTATCGAATCAACTGCAAACACGTGTAGCAGGAATGATTCAACATCTGTTCACTAGGACATCAGGAAAATTCTACAACCCCTACGACGACAAATAGGAGACAACAAAGAAAACTATAAGCTTCAAGTTTCAAAGTCGTGTGATGATAAATGATGATATAATTATGCACAATAGTAGATTGTTTTCGAAACTGTGTGATCCAGTAAACAGTACTACTGTTTCACTCACTGTAAGTGATATATCTAATAAACAAACTAGCACCTGAAGGCCCCCGGTTGGATCACTGATAATGTTGTGAGTCAGCACTCCCAAACAGTCCCAAACCAGGACGAAACAGTTGTCCAGTGGCCTCAAATTTGCCGTGGTTTTGAATCCAATGTTGGTTTGTGATGAAGTTTACATTAAATTACTAATTTCTCGGAAGTGTGCTATTCTGATGGTCAGTAGTGACGATGAACTTATAACTTGTTTTTTTTATTTATTCAGTTTACGAAGTGGAAGGGTTGGATGACGCCTACTCCTCATCAATGTCTGCAGAGTAAGATTTCACCCATTTCTAAATTTTACGTAGACTAACTTTATTGCCTGTTTTGGCAACTGGCTGGTCTAGATGGTTAATCGGTTAAGAACTGATGTCAACCGGGCATGTACAAACTTCTAAAATAAAGATAGAAGATATTCCACTAGGTCAAATCATGGAAATAGTAGATTAGAAAAATCTCGCTGGATGTTAGGCCAGAGCAATAGAAAGGCTTCAGGAGAAACCCGTAATACAGTGAGTGCTAACCGAGCTGGGAGCTCATAGGAAGTTGAAGTGTTGCTACTGTGCAGTTAAGATGTTAATCAATCGAAAATCGACGGTATTTTGTTTTCCAATGTTATCATTTATTTTTTTTTCATCTAATTTCTGTCAAACTATGGGCATTTTTTGTTCAAAGATGAACATGTCGAGTGAATAGTGCCCGATAAAGCAACACAAAGCAACAAAGTAGTAGATATTGATCTCTATTTGATAATTCATTCTATTATTTTATTGAAAAGTATTGACAGGTAGCTCCGTTATGGGAAAAATTTTATTTTGATGAAGTCACACAGTGTTTTTTATACAGCAATATTTACTTATGACAATGTTTGGAGCACAAAGTATGGCTGCACATAATCATATCACGTCACTACTCACAACGTTCTTGCTTCGTTTATGCACATGAGTAAAAATCAATTGATTTTTTTTTGATTTTTGATTTACAGCTTGATTCCACACTGTATTTTTGGTACAAGTATGGAATTTTCAGCATGGATATCGGTAGCCCAAATTTTTTAGGCCGACCATAGATATCAGCTGTGCTTCGTCGGCGTGGGCTCGAACCCCAGACCATGTGTATGGTCGGCGAGAGTCCTAACCACTGTGCTACCGACGCACAATGATTAGACATTTGAATAAAATCAATATAAGATAATATTAGAGTTATCAATCGAATACAACAAGATGGGAAATAAGATGTTTTTATAGTAATATAAATAAATAACGTCTTAGAACGTTATACTGCATGTGAATTGAATACATTTTAACATTATTTATTTTCCTCTGATTTGACTGGTGTAGTAATATCTTCCATATCTCTGGTATTTGCATCGAGTCATTTCTACTGCATGTTTTGTGTATAAACTCGATGAACCAGACAGGATTCAGTAATCGATCTCTCTCATTCTGCACCTACGTATATTACTTCTTAAAATTTTCACTCTGTCCCACGCGCCCTATTGTGTGGTTGTATGTTAATGCGTGCAGTGCAATGGCTGAGTGTTTTTCTAAACTACTTATCTTCTCGGTTGGGATCAATCATTCTAACCTTAGGTAAATTCTTATTTTCTGATAATTTCGCTACTCCTGATCTACTAGGGTGACCTATGTAGTTGACTTAACTCAGAGTCATTGCAAGGTATTTTGTAAATTATATCATTACGTTTAATTGGGTTCAATCTGTCCCAATCTTATTCCCTGTCTTATTGATTAAGAACACTCATCTTATTAACTTTCCTATTATATTTTATTGATAACACTAATATTATTCCCCAATGTATTTTGTCTTCCTTTCTGTTTCACGCTAGTCTTATTGTGATTTTATTCAAATTTCTAATCATCAATTTTTAATCATGTATGTAAATGAAACAAGGAAGGTGTGTTAGTGCCGCCTTGTTATGATTATGAGCAGTACTAAATTTTTCAGATGAACTGTAGTCAAGATTTGACAGAATAGTTCTAAAATATTTGGGCGCCGCCGAGTGAGAAGTAGACATTTGTAAAAAATTATTATATTTGTAAAATCTCAGCGATATTGAAATGAGTAATTCCAGCGTTTCGTTCGACAATCTGGTGGTCCGAACTTCTTCAGGGAAATTAATCGAAATTAACATAACAGAGGTTTATATATAAAAGGACAGACATGAAGGTATGATGTTAGCTGACGCATAGGAAATCCTGATTAATAAATAAGAATGGATATGTATCACTAACTGATAATACTTGGTCAAAGTTCCTGACTGTATATATCTACTTATGGAGACGTTAAGACATTGTTTTACAACTGTTTATCCGCACACATACACACTGTGTTTAAAGTGTTTAACAAAGGTAGATCAATATTTGTAAGTCTGAGGTCAAATTTTGATCACAACTCGTACAATTTTGTTTATTATACTTGTTAATAATTGTTTTATGAATCATGATTGGACAAAGTTTTTAAAAACAAGAAATGTTCCTTTTATATATAAACCTCTGTTATGTCAATTTCGATTAATTTCCGTGAAGAAGTTCGGACCAGATTGTCGAACGAAACGCTGGAATTACTCATTTCAATATCGCTGAGATTTTACAAATATAATTTTTTTACAAAAGTACTAAAGTTTGCTCGAAACTTGATCATCAGTAAATATTACTGTACAAAAACACTGTGTGATTTTATCAAAACAAAATTTTATGCATAATGGAATTTTACTCTACCAACCAAGAACCGTTTGTGCAGTAAATAAGCAGGAAGAAATGGAGCAAGGATTGGGTATACTCTGTCAAGTGACATCATAAGACAGAACCTCGAGTGGAACTAGAACGGGAAGCTGCGAGTTGGTCCCCAAGGCGAGGTAGACAACATGGAGGAGGTGATTTGAAGAGGAGGTGAAAGCATGTGATAAGACGTGGAGCCAGGTGAACACGTTGGCAGAGAACCGAACACAATGGAGACGTTCAGCTGAAGCCCTATGTTTCCCTAGGAATTAAAGGAAACAATAATGATAATAATAATATACAAAGTTGTATCAAACTAGAATCTATGAAACCATTTATTTTATATTGAAGGGTTTTTGATTTTATCAGTCAGTCAGTTTATGTTTAATTTTTATTCTACAGCCAATTGCCTTCGCCATCCGCGTAAGTAACCTTTTAATAAAGGCCTAACTGTCTCCTTAGGAAAGTAACTTCTAGTAGGTTGAATTATATCAATTTCTGGAGTTTTGAATACTTTAAATGAATCCATGGCACACATTTAATCCTGTTTGAGACTTGTCAGCTGGATGTGCCTGCACCTCTAGTGAGTGGTGGTGTTGTAAATGAGGTTCGTTTTACTGGGATGAGGGTAGGTTCAGCTGACAAGTACCAAATATGACGAAATCAGTGTCCTCAATACTAGTATTATTCATCACCAATCAGAACGAAATCATCTTAACCTTTAGAAATATTTCATTCAAGGAGCCAAGATTTCAACAGAGATATAATCAACCAACAGAAATTGGTCTATAAAACATGATTTTATCTTCTCTGAAGGTGGAAATTTATGCAACGGATATCAATACTTGGGCTAAATAACTGCACTCAAAACAATTACAGAATCCTCATGGAGCCAAATTCTCTTTTTGTAAGTAAAGCAGATTTTATTCGATGGATGGTGAATTGCAGTGAATCCGGGATGCTCATTTCGTCCAATTTGTGACTAGTCATCTGGACGTACCTACACTCCCCAGTGAGTGAGTATGTTCCCACCGACAGTCGAATACAGCGCCCGTAGTTTCAAACGTCAAAGCGTTATCCACTAGACCACCTGGGCCACGAGAGCCACTTCTTGTGTAACGGGTCATATTAATTACTTAACTGAACTTTAGATTTTTCCACCTATCGTTTGGACCGACGTGCTCGTTCCTGGATTCCACTGCTAGTCATTTTCCACCAGTTAACTTATAATAACATGGCCAGACATCTTCAAAGCATCTGCACAAGAAGCCGACATGTCAACCTGAGACCAAGCACCTTGGTCCAATCGATCGCCTAGAAAACCTAAAATTCAATTAAATTAAATAGATTTTGTTGGAAAATCAATATGGTTTCTTCTGAAGGTACATCCGATTGTGCTTCGTACCACCAAAGTTGTGTCTAGTTCTCTGAATTAAACTAATTCGGAATTCTGAGCTAAGTAAATCAAGATGCATCATTAGAAGATAGGCCGGAAAGGGTGAAATAGCCGTCGAGTGTTTGTATTACTCCAATAAGGCTAGCGAACACTGTTTTATACGTATATAGTTTTAACTACCCACGTGAACTAGTAGTGCTCAACATGACTACTTCATTTGGCCATTTCAACCGGATACGACAGAATGAACCAGGTTAGGTAGAAGTTATTGAATTAATACGCTTCTGTTACTGTTAATGCTATATACGAATTGTGAGGAGAAACATTTATGGCCACGATAAAAACGATATGTAGATGTGAGTTTGATAGTAAAAATCGCAAAAGCAAACCAGTCAAGTTGGAGAAAGACACAACAGAATACTTCTCATTTGCCTACTATGTGTCTCATATATCAAATACCGTGTCTTTGAGCAGTCGTGTTTACATAATGCAGGGGTGGAGTTAGTAGTAGTGTAGTGAGAGCAGGCTGCTAGCCATTTGGTAGACATTAATTTACGTCAATGTCCAGGTCACTAATATTGGCCCTGAGAAAATATGAACAAGACTGATTCAACAACCAATCACAGCAGACTTAAAGTGGGCAAATAAGATAAATACATGGGTCAACTTTCCGAGAAACCAGAAACAACCAATCAGAAGACTGTGTTTGTCTGCTTGAATAGGCTATAATAATGTACATGGAATATATATAAATAGGTGTTGATTTCCGTAATAAAACAATCTGTTTCCGGCCCTTGTCTTCTGTTGTTACAGTGGAAGTTATCCAGTTAATCTTTTTGGATGGCCTTTTGTCTATGATACAGAATTTTAAATCAGAAACAATGTTTAATCCCTTGTTTTTTGTAGTGTCGGCAGACTGCCTGTTCACCAGAACGATTCACATGTTGAACGTTGCAGTTCCACAATTATCTTTAAGAACATATCTGGTAACCATTAGTTGTGATACATTGTCAGGGATTGGAATATATTAGCTGGAGGATTTCGTCACGAGCTGACATCAGTTAGCACGCCATTGGAAAACCTGCAACGTAGTCCTAGAAAGCCACCTCGTCAGCCTATTTTAGGACTCTTCATCAGTATTCACACACCGCCAAATTTCCAACCAAGGACCTACTGGTTACAAGGCTGGCTAGCTGATAGACCATTAAGCCTCTGGGACCCAATCCAGCGGCTAGCCCATAAGTTCTAAATTCTGTCAAATCATGAGACAGCGCGACCACTTCTCAATGTCTTCTTTGACGAGTTATTACCTCATGTTCAACCTGCTGCACCTTACTGGTCACGGCAGTTGGATGGGGTCCCACAAAGCTTAATGGTCCAAGAGCTATCCTTGTGACTGGAAGGTCCTGGGTCCAAACCCCGCAGTGCGGTTGCGTACTACTGAAGAGTACCAAACCGGGGTGACGCAACAGCTGTCAAGCAGTCCATTGCAGCTTTACCAATGGTTCTCTGTCTGATGTCAGGTCAATGTGAAATCCTTCAACCAGTCAAACAAAGTTCCCTGCAGAAGCAATACTTGAAAACTGAAATATGTGACTGAAATTTTCATTCATAGGTTTATTCTAGTATACAGTTTTATATTGTGTGAAATAATCAGTTGTGATGAAAGGGAAATAAACAGATAGTCTCTTCTTGTCTTGGGTTATCCAACTATTTGACTCCACTCAATCCACACGAAAAGAAATCAGAAGCTTTTGTCAAGCAACGTCACTCTACTACATTCAGTGTGTGAGCGATGATTTAAAGACCTAGGTTTACTGATTCTAGGAACTATGGTCAACGGTGTTTCCCACCGGTAACTGACTTTTGCACCTTAAATCACTCAACAGACATGTCGTGATATTAGTTTTTTTTTGTTAAATATTGGCTCAGATACCATTTGGAATCAGATTACTCGAAATGTTTTATGCTAATAAAGTCAAGAAGGTAGTTTATCTAACTTCTTTTTTTTCCTTCACGTTCCCCAGTGGAACATAGGGCTTCAGTCTAGTGGCTTGAAGTTTCTGTAGCAGTGTTTATTTTTACAGGATGGGGTTGCTAGCCTCATGCCCAACCTTTCCTCTTTACCAGCATTATTTCTGGCTTAGCGAGGTAAAGGAGTGAGTCGGTGGGCGGGAATCGAACCCCGGACCATGTGGATGGTCGGCGAGCGTCCTAACCGCTATGCCACCGACGCCTATCTAACTTCTTAAGATTGGTTATTATGTTGTCAAATTTTGTACATAAAAGATGTTTTTGATACCATCAGATTTTAGTTTGAAAAGATTAATGTAGATATTTGTAATCTCTACTGTACTCCTGTGGGATTCTTTAAAAAAACTATCAAATTTTAGTGCTTATTATAACGACTATACATTTGAATATTTATTCGTTGTCAGGATGCTATTTCCATTCAATAAATAACTGAGCAGTTTATGACAAAATATTGTTTGTAACATTTGTTTCGGTTTCTAGAAGATTCTCTGTATTTATAGGGTAAGTGAACATAGGAGGATCACAAGATATATGTACTCTTTTTTTTTATTACAGCTTGATTCCACACTGTATTTTTGGTACAAGTATGGAATTTTCAGCGTGGATATCGGTAGGCCAAAATTCGCAGGCCGGCCATAGATATCAGGTATGCGTCGGCGTGGGCTCGAACCTCGGACCATGTGTATGGTCGGCGAGAGTCCTAACCTCTGTGCCACCGACACACATAGTAATTTGAAGTTATCTGTTTTGTTGGGTAACAGGTTAGACTCAAGTTTCCGCCCACTTTAGACTGATCAGCCAGAAGTACAAACACTTCTAGCGTTATCCACTAAGTTACCAGCGGGTGGAAGTCACTACATCTGCGATAGATATCATACTGAAATTATCTTCAAACTTATGAGTTCTGGTTCAAATGTAAGCATTCGTTCAATTGGGACAAAATGTCAACTGGAAAATTTAAGTAAAAATATAAAATTTCCAAGTATTGACTTTTTGTATGGATTTATTTTGATCAACCTGATGCTCATTAATGACTGATCCCATTCAGGCAGTTAACCTGGGATTCGAGTGGAAAGCCATGACCAGTGGGGTACAGCAAGTCGAAGGTACTGCATTAACTCATCGAAGAAGAAGACATTGAGAAGTGGGCTAGCCATTGGATAGGCGGATCCCAGTGGCTTAATGTTCTACGAGGCAGCTCGGTCTGTAACCAATAGGTCTTTGGTTCGAACTTTGGCTGTTGGTGGTTACTCCTGAAGAGTCACAAACTAGTCTGATGATTCGGCTGTCTAGCGGTACTCCCAGCTGGCTTTTCATTGTTCTCTAACTGATGTCAGCTCCTGATGAAATTCTCCAATATATTTAAAAAAATGTTTATTAACCCGTGGTACTTTCTTTGAAACACACCCTTACAAATGTTTCATGTAACGTTTATTAAATTAATTCGCAAGTAACTGGACTTAGAATTTCTGTATTCTACTACTATCACACGTGAAATGTTTGCCCGCATGAAAATGTGATATTCTGATATAGCCTTGCTCTGTGTAACTAATCGAGATGTCAGCTTTTTTGGAGATTTGACAACTAAAATAGTGAATCTTATATAATCGGATAGTTTTGTGATATTCTGGTGGTTTGATGGAGACAACCTGTTCCAACGAATATTATTCTCACATGTTCACACAGTTCACTAGCGCTATATATATATATATCTGTTTTGTCACTTAAAAATATACTTTGGCCTCCGTGTCTTGTCTTCTGTTGTCATTGCCTGCCCGTGAATGAACATCCACTGCCCTGCAGTTTTTGAAGAAGGAGAAATACGGACCTGCTTGCAGGACTTTGAGGCTGTTGTAGCGTTGAATTTCATCCAAGATCTATCAGTGAAGAGGCTGTTATTTGGAGCGCAGCTAAGGGGTTAGGCGAAAACAGCATATGATAGTGTGAGGCACTAGGGTAATGCAAACTGCTTCCAAAGTCGAAAGGAATATACACAATCAACGGGAGACGGGGTCACGTATATACAATCAGAAGTGCAAACGAGTGAAAGTCAGCGAGCTCCTGTGCTCGACACAACAACACAAGCCAACAAAGCCTCCAGAACCAAGAAGATCGAAGCGACTTCAGTTGAAAGTATTTATCCGAGGGGCTAGTGTGGTGGTGATGTGATACAGACAATGCGTTCCAACGGAATATTATTCTCACATATTCCAACAGTTCTATACTACATTAGCGACAGAAAACAATATATCTGTTTGACCATTCTGTTTCACGTGAATTATTATAAACAAAATTCATACGCTCAGTGACTGGTTAAAGAATATAGAAGTATATATATATATATATATATATATATATATATATATATATACATATATATATGTATATATATATATATATATAGAGAGAGAGAGAGAGAGAGAGAAAGAGAGAGGTTCGAGCATTTGAAAATATACCTTTGCTTGTCTTCTGTTGCTACAGTATACTGTCAATATATTTCTCAGTCTTTAATTTCTAGAGAACATTTACATACACTTGCCTATACCATATTGTCTTCTTTTATAGTGAATTTTTGAGTGCCTTATGGTGAGTATTATTCACTGTAACATGTTTATGAATAGTGAGAACGCTATTTATAATTTGATATTTAAGGAGGATTTACCTTTGGATGTTTTCTGAAGATGTTTCATTCTCAGACAACACACGATTTGATTGTTAATCGAATAAAATGAAAATGGAACAAGAGAAATCATACCGGGGACAATTAAAATGAGAATTGTAATAGTACCAATTGACGTAATAAATAAAGAGTAAACAAACTGAATAAACAAAACAAAAAATAGGTCGATTACTATACTTTAGCATAGGGAAATGAAGACCATGAAAGTTGGCCAAACTTCCTCTGCAAACAGAGGCCTAGCTTTTATGTTTGGCTGGCAAAAGCTTGAGCAATACAGATGAGTCGGGTACCTAAGGATTTCAGCAAAGCACTTTTCATTTTTAAGATGATTTTAAACTCGGAGACGGAAGAGATAGGGTGATCAATATCGACCAGGTGTTCAGTGATTGCGTCTTTTTATAGTTCCCGAATTCCACCTCTTCATGATGAAGCAGGGTGGCGTTCTTGTACTGTCTTCGTTCAACCCATTCAACAATAATGGTCTTAATCCTCCTATGCTAAAGAATGATAATCCTTTAAACGTATTTTGGATCAACCTATTTTTAATTTTGTTTATTCAATTTTTATGCTCTTCCTTTATTACAATATCAATTGTTACTATTACTATACTCACTCTGAAACTGTCCCCAGTATGATTCCTCTTGTTCCATTTTGTCATTCTAAATCAGTTTTGTTTTAAAGTGTTAAATTCTGTGTTACCAATTAAACAGAAGTGAGATTAATCTGTTGCCTAAATAAGAGATGAATGTAACAGATGCGCTTACACATCATAACGCCATCAAATTATAAAAGCTTTTATGATCATTTGTAGAAATATTTTTGATTCCACGCATCCCATATGAAGCATAAGGCTTTACGCTTTCCAATATTTGAAGTGTCGGTAGCAGTGGTATTTTTTACGGGTTTTTTATGGGTTAGGGGCGCCAGCTCCATGCCCTACACTTCTTATTCTCCAGTCTAGTTACTGGTTAGTAGACCGGTGGAGGGTTGGCACTGAGTTGGTTGGGAGAGGAATCCGGATAACTCGTATGACTGGAGGTCATTCTTCCCTTTGAACGACCAACTCGTTTTAACAGACTGGATAAACAAAATCTCTACTAAGACGTGAAGATTTTCCTAAGATGAACTGAGGCGGTTTATAAGAATATCTTTTTTAAGGAGCTAATATGTATTCTTAGTCGCCAATAGTTAGAAGTGACATGGCCTATAGGTGGTAAGTGTTCCTGTTCTGCATCATACAAAGATGAATATCAGACAGTTTCACTTTATTAATCTTTAGTCATTTTTCTTCGGAATGGTCTATACTACTGAAATGTGAATTAAGCGTCTGACTTTCGGCATGTTATTATCTCGTTTGTGGACTATACTATAGAGAACAGCATAAAGTACAGATGTGCTTTTAAAGCCTTCTTTTCCACTCGACACCCTAGGAAATAATAATGGTATAATTATAAGCCTTAAAATAGGTTACCTCCTTCACTTATCTGGGAAGCATCATTTCAACTACACGCAGCTGGAAAGGATGAAGATTTCAAAATCAGCAAGAATCAGAAAGGTAAAATACGCCTTCACCAACCTGAAGCCAGTTTGAAACCTTCTGCGTTGATTCAGCCAAATGTCAAGTCAGTCAATTCTTCTATTTGGGTCAGAAACGTGGTCAGCGTGTCATCAAAAGGATTTCCAGAAGGCTACTAGAGACTTTTATCAACAGCTGCCTTCTCTGGCTGTATACGGAAGATTAAATGGCTGGCCAGAAAGAATTAGCAACAAGTAACGCTGGCAACAAAGAGTCGATTGCTCAACCAATTATGCAGGAGAAAAAGTGGAGATTGATTGAGTATACATCACTAAGGAGGCCGTTGAATGACATAGTGCACAAGGCAGGCCATAGCTCGAGTAGAATCCAAATAGGTAGCGACAAGTGGGTTGTCAGTGTGAGGTGACATGGAGGAGAATATGTGGGGAAGAGATGAGAGATTATGGGCACTCGTGAACCCAGCTAAAGAGGACGCCAGAAGATAGGACAAAGTGGAGATGTGTTGTTTTTTTGGCGTGTTGGTGCACAAAACAGTTACTTGTCGTCGAACCTACTCTATAGGTTGATAAGAGAATCTCTGACTGCAATGAAGCTAATTATTACCTTTTATAATATCATCATACTGGATCCATTTGCATTAACTTATCTTTCATTATTAACTCTCCTACAGTCTAATAAACACCAAGCTGTAAGTATGCTGAATTTACACTACTGTTTATAGATGTAATTATTTTGAATTTTGGAGGAAATAAAGTCAATTGAGAGAAGAAAATTTGCCTTGTCGATGAAATCATCTTCACAGGCTGGCTGTACAGTCGTATTTATATTCACCTAAAATGTTTAGTTCTCCACTGATGAGTAGGAGGGTGTGTGTGGGTGTGTGACATAATTGATAAAATTACACAAAAGTGGCTTCAAAAGTAAAAATAAAAGTTGCAAATTACCTAATGCTCAACGACGGCACAAAGGGAGAAGGCGTTAGAAATTTGATAAGGTTAAAATCGTTATTGAGTGAGAAGACAGGTGGTAGTTCAGTGTCAATTTGACAAATGTGAAGAGGATAAGAAAGTGTACAAAAAGAACGTGTGAGAGCGATAAAAGTGAATTAATCATTAAAAATAAGTACACAAATTTACAGGGAACAACTAATGAAGAGGTTAAGACAATGGTAGTATAAGAGACTGGACAAAAGCTTTCTGTATATAAAGTTCGGCGTTGTATTAAGGAACTGTCAACGCTGCTGCCATACACAAAAGTGAAAACCAATTTCCCTTTGTATCATTTGGTTTCGCCTTGTAAATAATCTTGAAAGACGACTCTGATAGCGCTGCGTGTCATGAGTTCACGAAGTGCTTGAGAATTGAGTTAGTAACCGTCTTGCATTGCTCTCTTGCTTACCATGCCGGATAATGTTCAGAGATGCGCTTTATGCAGTCCCAACAGCTAGCTCCTCAGGAGTAGGTAAAATTCATAGGCACACATTGAGGTGGCCCAAAGTGGCACACGTTCACTGATCATTTATATGGTAGCAGCGGTGACAATTCGTCAATAAAAACCCGAAATCTGCATACAGAAAATGCTTTTTCAATCTCTTATACTACCACAGTCTACACCCTAGTCATCAGTCATTCCCTGTAAAATATTTCATTTTTGATTTTACAATTTTACTTTCAATTTGCTTTTACTTTATTAATTAATTCACTATTATCACTCTCACATGTTCTTTTTGTACATTTGTAGACACCCAGCGTGATTTAAAACTGTTATCTTTACTTTTGAAGCCACTTCTGTGTAATTATATCACTTGTGTCACCCTCTTATTACTCAAAAATAGGACTACTATAGATATTTGGTAAATATAAATACAACTATGCTGCCCGTGAAGATGGTTGCGTTGATAAGGCAAATATTCTTCGCTGAATTGTCTTTTATTTTCGTATGACTCAACGTGTATTTCGAATTCGCTCTTAACTCATTTCATCAGACCAAAATTCTTCATTTATTTTCAAATGTCAGTTCTTAGTAGCAATGCTCGGATGATGCCTGAAGTTCGCCACGATGTTAGTTTGTTGAAGGCAGCCAACTGTGTAATCAACGTTGCGCATTTAGTCAGGATTCGAGCTCAGCAGTTGGGTGTACCTACATTTCCATGTAGTGATAGGTATCTCAACCATCATTTCAAATGTCAAACACTATCCGTTAAATTAGATGAAGAGACATTCATCTGACCAGTTGCCAAAAGGATGAGGAACGCGTCCTAGTTTCCATCGCTAGCTACTATCTACTGAATGCCACCCCAAATTTACAATGGTTAGGCATTTCTCATCGTCGCTGGTCCTTTGTATAATCTTTTAAACAAAAAAGCTACAGGTCAATTCTCTCAAAATCGCAGTTTGAGGAAATCATTTTCATAAGTGTTTTGAGCAACGTTGTAGGGCTTGAAACTTTAAAGTTTCAGTAGTCATGTTAATTCTTACCAGGTTGAGTTGCTGATCTCATATTCAGCCAAAACGCTTTTTCGGGCTTAGTTTTGATTATCAAACTAAGTGAGGATGAGACCCGAACATGGGACAATTGATGACAATGAAACTTATAAAAATGATATCAAGACAACTTACATTTTAGGACCGATAATTTGCATAAGGTGACTGGTATCCACTATGGTATTTTTATTTCAAGACATTATTATAAAAAAGCGTTATTTTTCGCATAAGTATCAATCATCTATGGAAGTGGTTAGTCCTGAATATGGAGTATTCTTCATGTGGTGCGATACAAGTGTATACATCTAGTAGCATAATTGCGCATCAATATTCATACAACTGAATTGTTTGAGTAATTGAATACCCCTCATCCAACCGAAAATGATTTGAAAATCGGATGGGTGATTGTTTGATATATTCTAGGTTGAGCTTTTCAACTCCTTAACCGCTTTGCCCTCACCTATAGAGCTGAGCTCTGCTTACATATTTTGAGGAAACTAGTACTACTTAGAGGTGAATTCATCTCAGCCAAATTAAACCTTGAAATTCGGTTATCAGTTAAATTCAAAAGGTATAGTTTTCTACCTGTATCTTACGCTGTTTTTGTATTATCATTTCTATACGCTTTGATAATTATCTATCATATTCTATTTTCAGGAGTGTATTTCTAGAATATTTCAAGCCGTAAACTTCGTAATGGTGGTTATATGAAACCACATGGAGAAAATGAGAACATTGATAACAAAGATTTGTGTGAATCACTAAGGCACGACAGTATTTTCAAACTTTTCTATACGAGACGTTTAGAAATTGTAGAGAATGTTATAAAATAGGAGTGTTTCATTGTGTTTTCAGTACATATTTTGAAATATTGTAGGGTGAATCGTATTACAAAACATTTAACTATTAACACTCACATAAACATCTAACAGTTTCTTGCCTATAAAACATCTTTGTCGTGGAACTTTGTTGTTTTCCAGATAACTTTAAGCTTATCATGATCTTATTTGGTTGAGGAGTAACTATTACTGGGATAAAGGACTCGCAAATTAATTCTATTTTGATTGGTTAGGTGGATATGATTGTATAACCCCTAAAAGATTATATCTTTATTCGTTCTCGAGTCCAGCACCTATCATTTCAAACAGTACGCTACAAAAGGAACAGAAATGAATACAAAAGAAGTTTGAATTCTTTTTATTCAAAGAAATTCATTTTTTATGATCTCTTTTTGAAAACAATCGGGTAAAGAATTCGCATGTGAAAAATATCTCAAAATTGTGCAGATTAAGGCTACTTGCCCGGGAAGCATCGTTTCAACTAGAGAAGGACGGAAATGATGAGAATATCAAAGCAAGCATCTCACGCTTTCATCATTATTCTCAAGTCTGTGTGGAGGTGAACAGCACTACTCAGTATAAAAAATAAGATCGAGATTTTCAGCTGCAATGTGAAGTCACCGCTACCTACTGCACAGATCAGGGACTTGGCATGTCACAAAAGGCATTTCGAACGGACTACAGACCTTCAACAAACAGCTAGCTGCTTTCGTTCAATACTACTCAAAATTAGATGGCCGGCCAGGGAAGATCAGGAACAGGGATCTCTGGCAATGCACGAACCACTCCAGAAGGAACCAGCTGTGCAACAAATAAGCAGTAAGAAATGTAGGTGGATTGGTCATACTTTGTGAAAACATACCATCAAGTGAGTGACACTACGCGCCAGGCCATTACTCGAGTGGAACGTGAATCGGAAGTGGCAAGTCGGTCGGCGGGAGCCATGAGAAATTGTTGTCGGAGAACGAACGCACCGGAGAAATGCGGCTGAAGCCCTATATACCTCAAGGAACTAAAGGAAACAATAATAATTCTATGACTAGAGAGAAGCCTAGATTAAGGAATCATGGAATATCTAAGTAGCAGTCACACATTGAAGTTAAAGTACTTAGATATTAATGAGAAAATACGTCCTGAATTTTAAAATGCATAACTTTTCAAAGAATTTACAGCTGTGAGCTGGAAACTGTGTTTAATGATATTTCCTGCGATTTATCTGGTACTACTCATATTAGTCATTTCAGTACTAGAAATTGTTTAGATTGTTTTTGCAGACAAAACATTGAATCGAGAATAAATCATATTAATCATTCAGAAGTGGTGCCAGATTGATGAATGAACAGGAATCGTGTGATTGTCCTATACATGAACAAGAAGTTATAACATTTAAAGAAGCATTGAAAAGATTATCCTATTCCTTCAATGAAGTTCAAACTCACGACATTTAAATTATTAGTTATTAAGTGTGTGGACGGAATTCAGAGTTCAGGAACAGTTTTGTATTGGCTTGACAACCCATTTTACAGAGAAACAGCTGGGAATCACCACTGGTATAGATGCTGGTAAATAAATTGATCAAAGGCTTGTTTCAAGATTCATCGCTAGTTCATATCAGTTGCCGAATAATTGAAAACCACGGAGTATTGAAAGTCTGTCTCATCCTAGATTGAGACCCAGGCACGCCGCACCCATAGGGTTTCGAAGCCAGGATCTTCCGGCTACAGGGCCAGCTTGTAGATTATTTAGCCACTGAGAACCAGCTCAGTGGCCTATGAATTCCATCTCCTACTAATTCGTGATTTTTACAGCGACCATTAGCCAAAGTAATCGGCTAACATTTGTCCCCACTCAGTTTTGACCTATCACTTGAAAACTTAGTAAACTATTCCAGTATTCAGTCAATAACCTGCTGGTTTCCGATGTACCGTGGCTGAATGGTCTGCGAGTTTGCATCGTAGACGTAAATTCGCGGGTTCGAAAATCAGTAGGTGAGTAGTACTGGGTTCCCAAAGTAGGGAGGAACAGCTGAGCATTATTTTCTTCTTTTGGAATTGTTCTCCTGTGATTAAACCTAAGGGCAAATCAAATCCCGACAAAGTTCAGCTATCGCGTCTCACAAGATATCAGGTGACCTTGATCTGGCCAATCATAAAAAATCCCAGTTTAACTCGAGAAAATATGTTTATTTACAAGTAAATGCATGAAAACACGCCTAACACATTGTCTAGCGATCGCTCTATGTCATGAATTAGCAGAATTTAGAATTCATCGCCTGGCCATTAAATGTGGTCCCAGTGGCTTATTTTTGTCTATGAGCTCGCTAGCCTTGTAAACAGAAGGTCCTGGGTTCGAAACACTCAGTGTGGAAGCGTACTGATGAAGAGTTCCAAACAAAGAAGAAACAGCTGTCCAGTACTCGCCGCTGATGTTCCAATGGTAGTCTTAACGATGTCAGCTCATGGTGAAATCCTGTAACCAATCAATCAATTCCCTATATAACCAGTAATTGAGTAGTTGTTTATTGTAGGAATGTAACTGAACAGTAATCAATCATAAACTTAGTTTTTTATCCTTCACACCCTTTACAATGCCCTACCTATCTGAGGAGCAAAACATCCGCACTTTTTCGTTTTGCATGACTGATTCATTATAGTTTATTTCTAAAGTCAGGTTGAAGCCTTTTTACAGCTAAACTTTTAATGAAATTCAGTAGGTTATACAAATATAATCCATAGACCGTTGAAATCAATACGATATGCTTTCTGATAGGTGATAGCATTTTTCTATAGTTTGGTTTGTAAGGATTAGTTATGTTTTACGGGTTGATCGCGGATTGATATCAGTTAGAGAACCATTGAAAACCAGGGAGTACTGGACAGCTGCTGTTTCATCCTAGTTTGGGAATCATCGGCAGTACGCACCCACTGGGATTCGAACCCGGGACCTTCCGGTTACAAGGCAAGCTCGTATATCATTCAGCATTTTTCCCTGTAGTCGATTGGGAATATGTTCTGTGGCCTTAATCTATAGAGACCAATAGTTCCTTCTAATGTACTTTTGAGCACTCTGAGAGAAATCAGAGAGTGAAAATCAGTTTGTAAATTCAAAACATGAAATTGTGACGTGTATATTCGGTATTTACAAAGTAATATTTACAAGAAAATTTGTTTTTGAAGTCATTTGTATGACATTTAATGTAGTAAAGTATTAAATACTCTAAACTAAATAAAAACATAAAAGTAAGCTGTCACTAATTGTCAACAGAGAGAATATTTATGAAAACATGGATTCTTGAATGCATAAATAACAATGAAACTGATTCTTGTTTACACTCAGCTCTATAGCTGAGATTAAATTTGTGTATAATTTGACAGCGGGTTTACAAAACTTGCTTTTGAATAAATATGTTGATTGTTTAAGCAAATAATAATTCTACTGAATTGAATTTTTGATTTTCCCGTCGATTGATTGGACTGAAGTGCTCGGTCTCAGGTTGACATGTCGGCTTCTTGTGCACTTCGGTCCAATCAATCGACGGGAAAATCAAAAATTCAATTCAATAATTAATATATGACCCGTTGCACAAGAGGTGGCTCTCGTGGCCCAAGTCGTCTAGTGGATAACGCTTTGGCGTTTGAAACTATGGGTACTGGGTTCGAGCCTCGGTGGGAACATCATCACTCACTGAGAAATGCAGGTACAACCAGATGACGAGTCCCAAATAGGAAGAAATGCGCGTTATCCTGGATTCCACTGCTATCTACCATCCACCAATTGTATACTAAATAATTCTACTGTTCTATTGTCAACCTACGCCGAGAATTCCAACCATTTGGTGACCATGTTTGAATTTAATTGAGCGACTTGGTTTTTAATAAAATAAACTTTTGACGGTAGATTTACAATCTCCAATGTGCACAGTTCAAAGAAGTGAGATTTTCACTACAGTTCCCTTTTTGTAAAACTCCAGTTATTCAGATCACCGACAATGATCTTCGTAGTAAACGGGTGAAATGATCGTCCAGTGTTCGGATAAAATTCGATATGTTTGATAAGCGCAAATGGTTGATATGAGTGGTATACAACTAGTTATCGTGATCAATCAGTAGCATAAAGCTTCTGAAGAGTAAATTATTATATTATTGTCCATTTCTTATATGTCAAGTCGAGTGTAGGGATCAAACAGCACATCTGGTATTTCACTGGCTTCTCTGACATCAGTCTCAACAGAACTCCCATGTTTCTATTTCCTCCTCATATTATTTCCACTTTGTCATCCTAAAACCCACTCCAACTTGTACAGTCTCATTACGCCTACATTCAAATTCCTGCCCTATGGTGTCAAACCCAGTGCATATTCAATCCATCTCCATGCTGTTCTGTTCATCCAGTGCCCAAAGTCTTGTTAACTGGTTAGCTACATTTAATTTAATTTTAAATTTTCTCGTCGATTGATTTGACCGAAGTGCTTGGTCGCAGGTTGAAACATCAACTTCTTGTGCAGATGCCTCGAGGATGTCTGCGCATGTAATCATAAGTCGGTTGGTGGATGGTGACTAGCAAGGGAATCCAGGATGAGCATTTCGTCATATTTTTGACTCGTCAGTTAGATTTACCTGCATATCCCAGTGATGGATGTTAATACTATTAGGGAGTTCAGTGCCTGTTCGACCTCTGGACTAGTTTAAAAATGCTTTTAGAGGTTACTTATTGACTATGTCTCTTACGTGAACGTATCTCCTGGCTGCAGAGTAATCTAATTCCTTAGATAAGTTTGTCAACACTCAGTTACCACACGGTGTTCTTCATACTCCCACGGTGAATATAAGTTATACAAATGTGGACTGCT